TGGGGCAGTGCAGTGCAGTGCAGTGGAGTACAGAGGTGACCTGAGAGTGGGGAAGATGGGGCAGTGCAGGACAGTGCACACAGCTCAGCCCTGCGCCAGCTGGATGGGGTCAGAATCCTGCCCCACCAGTTAGTGGAGTGGCCTGGAGCAAGTCCTTTTCTACCTGCAACCTTTGTTTGCTTTTTCAAAGTAAATAAATGGGATCTACTAGGACGACTTGTTTCTAGAATTTAGGATTGTGCTCTGTGTGAGGTATATTTTACCTGGAGTCGTGATTCCGTATTTGCACTTCAGTGTTTGTGTGACTGGAAGAGCACAGCTACTGTGCTCGGGGTGTATGTGGCATCTCACCTTTCTAAAGTCTGCATTCAGGGACACCGTTGTCCCAAGGGCTTCAGGTGAGACTTTGTGGACTAATTTTGGAGGAGGAAAAATAATGATTTGAACTGGTCGCTAATTGATTTTTTTTTTCTGTGTTTTAAAATGAAAGCAGTATATTCAGATTTCTGGAATATAGAAATATACGTAAATCTAAATTAAGATATTTGTTAGACCAATAGCTGATGTCTTCTTATATATACTTACATTGATATAACTTGGATCAAAACGGGAAATAACTGTGTTAATTTTAACAGAACTTAACTGATTTTTTTTTTTAACCATTATTATCACTAGGAGGAAAAGAAGTATCTCTTAAAGGAAAAAAAAAATCACCTTTAATATCACTAGTTAGGAAACAGGAATAGTGCGCCGTAGAGAGATAATATTCTACTTACTGACACGTCAACGTTTGTTCTTCTTCTAGTGTTCCTTGCCTGTGTCTCCCCTTGGTTCAGTAGCCACCAGATTTTTGGAAGAAGAGGAAGTGAGGTCTCATCATATTCTAGAGCGCCTGGATGCCCATATTGAAGAGCTAAAAAGAGAGAGTGAAAAGACAGTGAGACAGTTCACAGCCCTAAAGTAGCTGCTTTAAAGATCACAAATGTGGAAATAAAAATAAACACTGAAGAGCTACTGTCATCTGAAGTAGCAGCTCTTTACAAACACGACCATATAAATTATAAAGATGATGCACCCTAAAGTAGCAGTGAAGAAGTCTGAGAAGCCGGTCCTCCGCCCAGGCGTGTTTTCTGAACTGGTTGGTTTGAAGGACTTCTTCCAGTGATATCTTGTGAGAATAAACCACTTTGCTAGATTTTTTTTTTTCTCACATGAATATTTATTACCATAGAATGATACTTTTTCTTGGTGATGTAAATGCGAATAGCTAATACTAACTAAAATAACGATTTTATAAAACATGTTGAAAATAAAGTAACTGCAGGAACTCCCTGTAAGGGGAGCGTGTAGTCCAGGCAGGTTTTCGAGCCAGACTGGTCTGCATGGATGCACTGCAGGGGGTCTTCCACGTACCGGCCAGTCGAGCTGGTCGCCGACTGGGCTGGTGTGTGCAAAGCCCGACTGGAGGTGGATAAAGAGGGTCACACTGAAGGACCTTGCAGGGCCCTCTCTTGCCCAAACCTCTAGTAGAAGAGAGGCGGGCTGACAGGGGCGGGGCCAGCGCGGCTGCCCGTGGCACACCCGGAGCAGGCCAATGCCTCTGCACAGCTTCAAGGGGCTCAGACAGGGTGGAGGTCTGCATGTCAGTGTGCAGGGAGCAGCCAATACACGGGATCGATGCGGTCTCCTAAGGAAGACGTGGAGTGGGAGGAGAGCAGGAGACCGAGCGGGGTCCCTGAGAGATGCAGGCATCTGAGGGTGCCGGAGGCAGATCCAGCCACGGAACTAGAATGCAGAGAGGGGACCGAGTGTAGGGCTGCTTGCCAGCTCAGGGGCGGGGCTCCTGAAAGCCTGTCAGCATGTACTGTCCTGTTCATCTCCATCAGAAACAGACCTCAGTCTCAGTCCTCCCACCCACTCCGGATCTGCCCGCCTCCCTGCACGTGTTTTATGGGGAGTTCCTGCAGTGACTGTCCAGTTCTTCACCTCGTGCCCTTCCCCGTCCCCTGCCCCACTCCCAACTGTGCAACTGCTCTCTGGCTCTCAAGTTCACTGTGCCCTTGGACACATGGCCTCCCTCTCCTGGTCGACTCCCACGACCTGGCACTCCACTTCATTCAGCCTTGCTGCCTTTTACTTTTCTAACCTGGGCCCTCTCGGGCTTTGACAAGGGTTTGCTCACTCAGCACACTCTTCCCTAGACTTTTCCATTCCATTTTTAAGCTTTGAATACTGTCTACAGGTCACTGACCCGTACCTGCGTAATTAATGTTGCCCTCTTTCCACAGCCAGTATCTCAGGTACCTAGAGTTATAGCTGCTTATATTTTTTCACTTGAGTGTCTGGTTAGCATGTTGCGTTCAACAGTTTCTTCTTTTTGAGAGAGATTTTTACAATAGGGCACATGCACTTGCCAGAGAGAAAGTGAGAAATCATCCCCCAGGGAAATGGCCATGTTGCAACCCGTTCTCCATTCTCCTCTTGGGATTTTGGGCGCGTGCACACAGAGACACACAGACACACACACACACACACACACACACACACACACATGCCTGGCATGAGTTTCAAGGTGCTGTGTCCGGGACTTGAACTGCAGTTGGCCGTATGGGAGTCCAGCAACATAGCTGTTACACCACCTGCTGGTCCTGGTCCCATGTTCTACATTTGCCAGAGAAAACTCTTGCTTTCTTTTGTGCTGTGAGTCTGTCTCCCGACCTAGCATCAGATTTGGCAGTTCCTCAGAGCTGTCCTTGTCTCCTTCCATACCTACATTTCCATAGCCAACCCACTGGGAGGTCCTTCTGGTCTACCTCCAGATCTAGCTCAGATGCAAGTGTTTCTCCTCTCCTGTCACCACCCTGACTCACATGACCCCAGTCTTCCTCCTGAATTCTGCCCGTAGCCTCCTCGCTGGTATTACTCCTACTCCTGACACCACTAATTTATTCAGAGCTTCCAGGCTTGTCCTTTAGAACTGTAAATGAATCAGCGTCACTGCTATTTTTTTAGAATGTTTCCAAGGCTTCTTATTGCACTCGGAATAAAACCCAAATTACTTACAGCCCAGGGGCCTCGGTGATCTGCCTGCCTCCATCACTCACCGTTCATCCTTCATCGTACTCCGCTCACGCCGGCCGGCCTTCTGTTGCTTGTTTCTGAGTAGAGCCAGCTTTACTGTGTTAGTGTCTTTCACTTGCTGTTTATCTGGATTCCCTTCCTCTCCCTTCTCCCGTGAGTGGCATGTGCGCCCTCCCAGACCTGCATGCTAACACCCCCTCTGAAGCAAGCCTTCCATGGCCACACCCCAAACCTGGTCCTCCTGCTCCTGCAGCTCACCACCCTGAGTTATTTCCTCCATAGCACTTGCTACTGTCTGAAATCAGTTTACCACTTGATTTCCATTTTTACTGTCTATTTGGAATTAAACTCCTCGAGGGCAAAGACTTAGCCTGTCTGCTTCATGGTAGGCTCCTCATCACCCAGCCCTGCCTAGGAGAGAACTCGGATAGTGTGGCCAGAGGATGGGTGTCCTCCGGTGCGCCACCATGTTGCCTGTGCGCCAGCCTTTGCGTCTGCCTCCTCGCCCCACACTGCCACGTGCCGGTGACATACTTACTCGGCTACTCCAACCTTGCTAGGCAAGGCTTTTCCACACTGCTGACCAGCCTTGGGGCTGTGCTGCTCATTCTCGCACACCCCCATGCGTGCCCCTCTCAGGCAGTGACCACACTGTGCTGTCTGTCCTCTTTAGTGTCTGTCCTGCCCACATCTTGGGCTGGGGTGCTGCCTCACACATGCTCGGTACTAGGCTAACGCTGGGTGGTAGAAATCTCTAACGCTCTGGACTTCGGTGTACTTGTCTGTAAAGTGGGAATACGAGCCAATGGGGCTGAGAGGATTTACTGCAGACCCTAACGGTACTGTGTCCAGTACTCCGGATTGGTACGCAGGCGGTTCTGAGTTTCAGAACGTCCCGAGTTTCTGCTAAAAACATGAAGGCTGCAACCCCTCTTCTGAAACTGTCGTCGTGTGTGCTGACCAGGAAGAGCAGGGCAGACCCCGTACTCACTGGAAGTGGTTAGGGCTCACCGGGCTCTGTGTTTTCTTAAACTGACAGTTTTCTGAAATTGAAGTACTTACCTGATTGTCTAAATCTGTCAGAACATCTGATTGTAACGTGATCTCGTGACTTCATTTTTCCAAGAGGTATGCCAAATATTAAACTGTCAAAACCAAGTTCGAGTTAGTTTCTTCATATGTATTTTACAAACCTCTCAGCGATCGGGGCGCCCAAGTGGGGTGGAGGTCTGGGCCGACCTTGGTGTCTGCGGTGGGCGATGCGGGGCGGGCTGTCACTGCTCTTGCCTACACTCCCAGCGGGGTGTGCAGTGGGCGATGTGGGCTGGGCTGTCGCTGCTCTCCCTACACTCCCAGCGGGGTCTGCGGTGGGCCATGTGGGGCGGGCTGTCACTGCTCTCGCCTACACTCTCAGCGGGGTCTGCAGTTGGCCATGCAGGGTGGGCTGTCGCTGCTCTCACCTACATTCCCAACGGCTTTTTCCGGGATTGCTGTGCAGTGCTCACTGCAGAGGGCAAAGCCGCATCCCCGCTGCAGGTCGGGCACAGCTCTCCCAGGGAGCCTCGTTGCTGCACAGTTCAGGAGGCAGTGAGGCCCGTGTCCCCGTTCCGTGAGGAGGGTCAGCGTTTGTGAAGGGCCTCGCGCTCTGGCTCTAGCAGCGTCCAGAGGAGCTCTGCCCCTCAGTAGCCGTGTGACCCAGGACAGGCTGGTTTGCCTCCCCGTGCCTCACTTTCTCATCTTTAAAAGGGAGGTGAGAAAATAGCACCTCCTTGATAGAGTTTCTGTGAAAGTGAGATTAGTAGCGTTTGTAGAGCACTTCCAGCTCTGCTTGGCATCGTGTGGATGACAGTTACTATGTTGAATAGGAAAAATGCTGCAGCACTTGGTCTTTCTGTACCTGCCTAACTCCAAACAATTCCTCCTCCCCTCATGCACTCATGTCTCGTAAACGAGGGGTGACGGTTTTCTGTTTGCAGAACACCCTGGAATCTATCGTAGGGCCTGACAGTTTCAGCTGAGAACAGTAACTGTAAATCGAGCTCCGTGCCGTTGAAGACCTGGGGTAAATGTCGTAAGCAGAACTGAAGTGCAGAACAGAGGTTAGAGAGAGGATGCTGTCACCTGGGCCAGAAGCAGTTGGAAACAGCATACAGAATGTCAGAAAGAAACCGCCAATGCAGTCAGGGCAGGGGAGCAAGGGCCACACGCGCTGACAGCAGGCCCTGGTGCCCAGTCCCGTTGGTGGAGGAAGCAGCATATTTCTGAGCTCCTCAGGAACAAGTGCAGGTAGCCGGCGCTATGGCCGAGTGTCAAAAGATGCTCAGAAGCGTTCCAAGTAGAGCCCGGGCTCAGGAGAAGCGCAGTTCCTTCTGACTGTGCACTTGGTGAGGCGCACGAGCATCCAGAGAGGCCCGCCCGGTCGTGCCAAGATGCCAGTAAGAATGAGTGCAGCTCAGGTGTGCTGCAGGGCGGGCTGATGGCGTAGGCCTCAATGCGGTTCAGAGGTTCCCGAGGACGGTAGAAAGCTCTCATGCTCTGGCTTGATCAAAGGGGAAATCGAAAGCAGCGTGAACCGTAGGCCTTAAAGGAATCCTCTGTGAACGCCGTTTCCCCAAAGTGCAGCTTTGATTATTCACACAACATAGTTCAGACATTCTGTCCTCTGTGGGAATCGGGGCCTTTGAGGTTGCCCATTAAGGCCAAGTTCAGTGATCTGACGATCATCCAGTCAAGCGGGTTACGGAGGACGTAATCAAGGCCGTGTCTAAATGCTAAGAGCAAAGTAAATAAACGCGCACACATGCGTTTCTTCTGCGGAGAGGGTTCATGGCTTTCGTTATAGAGTTTTTAAAAAGAATTCTTTTTTATTTTAACTTTATTTCATTTTATATTATTTGACTTGGGTGGGGAGAGAGCGAGAGAAGGTGAGAAAGCAAGCCACTGGGTCCGGGACTTACACCGTGGTTGGCCTTGTGGGAGTCCAGTGCCCTTCACCACGCCACCTGCTGGCTCTGTTTTCAGGATAGTTTTGAAGATTTCCGTGAGCCAGAAGAGATTAAGAACTACAATGTCAAGGGAAAGCATTCTCCCAGAATGGCACGCTGTTTCCTGGAGAGAC